AAGAAAACTAATTACAAATAGATGGTCTGCTGTGACTCCAAAGTGAAGGGCTGCAAAGAAATGAGCATGAAAAGCAGAACCTGTCACAAGCATCTGTGGAACAGCAGGAAGTTATGGCCAGCTTGTGACAGTAGCACTAAGACTCCACATGGGAATACTATTAAATTAACAGCACATTGAGATTAATTGCAGTTTTTTTCCTGAGGATTTAATTTTTTTTTTTTCAGTTGCCCAACAGGTATCTTGTAATGCAGTGGGTTCGATTTGGTGGGGAAGTTTTCTGGTTTTGCAGCTCTTTTTGAGCTGTATTTCCAAGTACTGTGTTACTATTTTATCACCCAGAAATAGAAAAGCAACACCAGCGCTCTGACCCAGCCACACCCAAATCCTCAGGGAAGTCAGACGTCTCTTCAGAAGCCATGGGCAGTGAGATAACAACATCACACACACGCTTTGAATTTTAATTATCACTATTAAGGATTAGGAACCCTGTGAGCAACCAATTTTGCTGGCATTACTAAGCCAGAGTCAAGCCTGCTTTTAGTTAACTGTAATGCAATATTTATGCCTCAAACCTGATTTTAGCGAGTTCCCTTCCCTTCTGGATACATCACTGGAGGCTACAAGTACCCTCTTTGGCATCACCACCCTCAGTTAATTCTAGACCACAGGGGAATTTTAACAGGGAATAAACTAATCCCTCTCTTGCTACTGCCAACATAAGAGAGTACTGTTATTCCAATTCAGAAAGATCAGTTTTTCTCCTGTTAAGCTTTTCTTTCCTAAAAGAAAGCTGGAAATATGGGGAGACTGCCTGCCCCTCCAAAGCTGCTTTAGTGTCTGAACAGGTCACTTACACAGAAAGAATTGTCTTTGAAATATCCTGTTGTCAATGACCGTGCTCTTCTGGTATCATTGCTAATCCCCTCCATTCCATAATTAGGATTGTTTTTCCTGACATTATTTCTACAGATTCCATGCTGGGGCATGACTATAAAGGACAGGCTGCAAATCTGGCCCGGAGGAGAAAGAGGGAAAAAGAATAGGAATTGCAAAAAGAGCAGCTCTCATTCTAACCTTCAGAAAAGTGCAGTTTTTCCTAATTTTTAGCATAGGGCAATAATCTGGCTGGTGCTTTGTGCCTAACCTTAAGTGAGAGTTTTAAGTGACTGCTAAGTTTAATCAAAGAGAGAGCTGTTTTGGTGAATGACTTGCAAAGAGTCTGTGCATGTGCCAGCCCTGCAGGGAAATGCCTTTGTTTTAAATGGATTAATTTGGGATTAACATGACCAACAGCTGACATACAGGATGCCTGAACACAGGAAGGCACAACAGGAAAACTTCCTCCAACAAAATTAAAACATCTCCCTCTCTTCTCCCAGCTAAACCAAGCAACTAAATGAAAGGAACCACCTAGATGACAAAAAGGCCAACAAAGGAGCTTTACCATTTGCCAGAGCTGTCACTTCTCTATCCATCAGGTCATGTGCTACAAACACCAGCAGCACACATCCTGCTTTCACTCCATGAGAATTCCCCAAATCCATTCATTCGGCGCTGGGAAGAGCCTCAGACCCCTCCTTGGGCTGATATCTTCCACTAGTCCAAAGCTGCAATCTACAGTCTCACTGTAGACTCACTAAGACCTCACTGAGAGGTCTTAACTCCTGCACTGACCCACAGACCATGAGGAGCCCACCAGGTCCCCTCCCTGGCTGCCCCAGCCCTGCTCCCACCACTGCCCTTGGCCAGCGTGGGCCTTGGGCTCTCACAAAAGCAGCCCTTGGACAGGAAGCACCTGGGTGCTGCCCTTTTATAGGGCAGGTGGAAGCAGGGCTGTTGCTGCTCTAAGTGAAAACACAGCATTAACCAGCATCCTGGCTCCTGGGGGGAAAGTGTTTTATTAATCAGAAAACTGCTTTCCACCCCATGGTGTCTTGCAGACCTTTAAACTTGCATGTGCAAAAATCAGAGAAATTCTTCTGTCATTCTCACAACAGTTAAAATACAGAAACCATTTTTACCATTTTTAGACTTCAGGATTACTTTTTTTTTTTCTTTTTCTTTCTTTTTTAATAAGAAAGAGAACTTGAACCTGATTAGAATTACCCTCTCATCTCAGCACAGGGTGCTATTGACAAAGTAGAATTTCAGGGTATATACCCCATCCATTAAAGGGAGAAGCTGAGATTACTTGACCAAATGGCATGGTCATACACCACCTGCTTTTCCTCATTTTATTCTAGACTACTGAAAGAGAGAGAGGGGATGAAGACCAGAAATGCTGGGCACCCCATAATCCTGATTGCCCAAAACCTGCTGTCGTGACTGGGCAATGACTGGTAGGAGGCTGGAAGGATGATGTGAAGATAATGAAGTGCAAGTCTTTGGGTGTGAGGACCCAGAGCCAAAGGGTAAAAGAGCATTATTTCACCCACAGTGTTCACCGTGCATTTCTAGTTCTGCTTTTTACACAGTTCATTTCATCTGAGAAGAAAAATGCTTTCATGGATGGTGTGTTCCTGCTATAATTCATGAGATTATGTATATTTTTCTCCACAGGGAGAAAAAAAAAAAAAGGATAAAAAATTCCAAAATACCCCAAGTTTTTAAGGGAGAACTGGGACTGTTGATATCCAGTTTTGGCACCACTCGAGGAAGGAAAAAAATCCCTGTTAAGAACACTATGGTTGATTTTAACCAACTCACCCCCTCAGAGTTGTCTGGGTCACTGCAGAAAGCGTTTCCTTTGGGGGTGTTTGAGCCCAGCAATGCTAATTCAGACAGATGACAGCACCTGCACTGGGGGAACATACATCATTCCAAGAAAATCAAGTGGAAAAGCAACTTCCAGGCATTTTAAAAGATACAAACTCTCTAGCATACATCACCAGGAATACCCCATGCTTGGCGTGATTAGGATTTGCGTGAGCCAAAGTTTACAGTCTTGAGCCCAAGCTTGACAAACATTAAGAGCCTGTGACTATAAATATGGCCCTGCAAACACCAGTTTCTCCCTGTGAATAGCTCGCGTTGAATCATCCTTTCGGGCCAGCTAACGCTGTCAGACAATGTGTCAAGCGCCACGAATGGCCAGCGCAAACCTCCACGGATGGCTGGGGAAAAGGATGGCTGGGGAAAAAGGATGGCTGGGGGAAAAGGATGGCTGGGGAAAAGGATGGCTGGGGAAAAAGGATGGCTGGGGAAAAAGGATGGCTGGGGAAAAAGGATGGCTGGGGAAAAGAGTGGCAGTGAATGGAGCGGGGCGGCTGCCCCCACACCGAGCACACAGAGCGCGTCTGTTCCAGGGATTCCCGGCGGCTTTGAGCTCGGGGTGCTCTGCCCACAGTGCTGGTCACCTGCTGGGAGCTCCCATTGAATGAGGTTACATTCTAATTGGATTTTCCAAAGGCAGCACATTAGCATTTTCCATGATCTCACCCTTATTAGCCAAATCGCTAATCAGGAGGAGCGCGGTTATATTGTCTGCTGGTTACATTATCTGCTGCTGCAGTGTCTGCAAGCCAGTCCCAAATTCATGCAGAGATAAAAACTCCCCTCTCTCTAGCAGAGACTCGGGAGTCTATTGTGGAGCTAAGGTTGCAGTCAAACTCTAATTTTCAATAGTTCACCCAAAACCAACTTCTCTCTGGAGGATGCCTCACTCAGTGCTTTGCTCCTGCTCTTCCTGAGTCGGTACTATAAATCAGGAATGTCAGCTCTTTCATCCCTGCTGGCAGAAGCAGCATCCCTCTACAATGTAAAAGCAGAAGAATCCTTTCCCATGGACATTCCCATTGAGCCCAGAATCAAATGCTGTAATACTGTAAGGTTATTATTTCTATGCACAGGCCTTTGAGTATTGAAAAGAATGGAAATACCTGTTCCATAAGCAGAAATTACACATTCACGCTGTCCTGTAGCCAATGACTCTGCCTTTGCACAGTTCAGAAAACTGTGTCAGAACTTAAATCCACAGGAAATACTCCCGAGCTATCAGGAAAGCAGGCAGGACATCTTATGTACTGCAAAAATCTGTTTCTTTCAGGTTGGGTCCCAGCAGGTTTGGATACCTGCTTCTCAACAGCAGCCTTCCTAAAAGCCTGAGGGGAAGAGACAATCTTGCACATAGATTATCAAGTAATGTTTGCTGGACAGTCATCCATCAACATTTTCTGAAAAAAATTACTGTCTAAATACAATTTCACTTAAAAAACCAGGTTTTATTCTTGGTTAGAGTTTACATGATGATGTTCAGATTCATTACGAGAGTAATTTGGAAATATAAAACCACATTCACTCTGAAGTGAAACCCATTCAATACTTCTGCTAATATTCTTGCAATACAAATAAGTACATACAGAAAACCCCCGCTGTGATTATGTTTTACATGTTATTCAAGAACCAAAATAAAAGGAGATCTGACCTGACTGAAAAAAGGTAAGCGGGCACCTTTTACCTGGCCTGGCATGGGTGTTACCCTGATCACAATTACACAAAGGAGTTTAAACAATGAAGCAGATTTCCCTTTTACCAACCAAGGAGAGGACAGAATTCAAGGTGATCAATCAACAAATCATCCCCTGGACTCAAATAAAAGCCCTCATCATTCCCAAATGAAAACAACAACAACAAAAATATCACACCACTATTGGGCTTGCAAGCTCTTGAATTCAAACCAGATGTGACAGTCTGAATCCTCAGCAAGAACTGCATCTCTTCTCATCAGGCTTTTAAAGAGATTCTCACAAGGCAGCACAAACAGCATCTTCAGAACAAAGGGCAGTAACGCTTCCCAGCAGAGTTTAACTGGATCTTGAGGATCACCAGCCTGTATGAGCTGCTTTTCTATTGTCCTCACAGGGATTTTACCAGGCATAAATCACATGCACTGAAGAGATAAGGAGCTAGGAGTAAAAAAACCCCAGAAGAAAACAGAATAATGAAGTTGCAAGAGTGCCTTGCAGCCTTTGGTTTACACTTCTCCAGGCCGGAGGCTGTCAGCGATGGGCTCCCTTCTCCAGGGAAGAATCTGCAACAGCAAAATCAATGGGAATTATTGTGACATTGAGAAATACAACTCACTTAGGACTAATTTTCCTCCATTTTGTAACGCTTCCACACACACACCCCGCAAAGCCAGCACTGCACTTCATTACAAGACTGTAATCAAACCAATACAAGTGGCAGTAGGAATGAAGAAGCAAAAGAAAGTGGGGATATCAGAGAGTGCTCCAGGAGTCTCTGTCTCAACCTTTCTCTAATCCTGATGGTTGACACAGAACAAACAGTAGGGTCTAATGGCTTAAAACCCCCTTGTAAAATCTTTCCAGACTTCTAAAAAGATCAGCTGACATTCAGCAGTGCTCAGAGGTGTACACTGGCATTAGGTGCACCCAAGAGAGCAGCTAAATCTGACAGAGGGAATAATGAATGCCCATGACTAAGCAGGTGTTTGTGGTTCAAAAATGTGTTTGAAAGTAAGTCACTCAAGCTAGGAAAATAAAACAAAACTGAAGAAAGGAAAATACGCTATTGCTGGTGCAACACATGCCTCCTGAAGCTTCAGAAGGTTTTGGAAATGCTCTAACACATCTCTAGTATCACAAGCACAAGTGCAGTCAGTATTTCACTTAAAGAGAAAACATTAGAAATTATGAATCCTGATCTGTTTGCTCACAGAAATAAAATGATCAAACCCTGCAGCTGTTTAAATCACATATCCTGTTCCTCTTCCCAAGAGACTTTTCTGCCTGTACTCTGAAGAACTACAACACGTTCTGTGATCTTCAGCTCAAGCTGACTTTTAAAAGCACTTTAACTTCACATGTTCTGGAGTTAGGAATCAGAAGTGTGCTAATGGCCTTTTTGCAGTAGCAGAAATCAAGCTGTATCAGTGAAAATGACAAAAATAATCACATTTGCATTCCCAATGGGGATGGCAAACTGCTAATTAAATCTGTCTTGACTACTTGGAAGCACTGATAATTTCTCATATAATGTATGCACTGAGGACATGCTAATACCAAAAATGTTAGGGGTTTGGGATTTTTTCCAGGAAAATTAAGATGTCAATTAATAGACTTTTTTTTTTCTGTCTGGTTTTTACTGAAAACCTCCACAAATCCATTTTTTTCAGTTTTTCATATTTTCCCCCCTCTCCCTACAGATGTCATTATTTCCAGTGGCAAACCCCACACTTCTCCCTCCTCTTCTTCCAATTAGCTGTAATTATAACAACATTAGTAGCAAATTAGGTGCCTCGAGGGCAAAAATCTGGGAAGCAGCAGAGTGTGGAAAGGAAGAGGAGATGAGACTATAATGGAAGTAAGCGGGCACATCCATGTGCTCATCTGGGCACCCTTAGGGCTGTGCAGGTTGAGCTTGGCTTTCCCTGAGCCTGCCAAGATGAGGAGGTGACCAGCTGCTGCCACAAGCCTCCAGAGCTACCCCTGGAGAGGGAAGCAAAAGGCTCCATTTGGGCATCTCCCCATCCCTGGCATCACGGGATCCAACATAAAAACATCCAGTTCAGGCTGGAGAAACGCATTGGTTGTATCTGATGTTCTGAAGGGGTAACTGGGGTGCTTAAATGCATCTACTGGGAATCTTTCTACCAAGGAAAGAAATGCAGTAGGATTAATTTCAAGTGAAAAAGGCAAGACATGCCAGCAGTTGCAGCACGCAAAAGGGTTCTTCCTCTGAATAGGCTTTTGAGCAATAAACCTTTTTTCCAGAGAATTTTGCATTAAATATCTGGGTCCAGGGAAAATTTCCAAGATCAAACTCTTTTTTACAACTGTCTTTTCAATTTTGCACAGTTGGATAAGGAAGGAAGTCAACACTGCTTGCCAAATAAAATGACATTAAGTACATTTACTGGAAATCTTTCTGCCTTGCTCCTTAAAAATTAAAAAAAAAAACCCAACAAACCCAAATCATTAACAAAAACCAAACAGAACAACATGACCAAGAACAAAAAGGTCAAAACCTGACATCAGGAGTGTAACAGAGCCCAGAGAGACTTAGGAGCTAAAAGTTCCTCCTAAGGCAGCACTGCTGGTCCAACGAGACAAGGCTGGGAGAATTTGAGCACATTTTAGGACTAAGACTTCCTGCACAGCAAGGTACCTGGGGAGGGATCAGTCCAGAGGTGGGAAAGAGTTATTCTCTTGGAAATGTATTGCCGGTGCAGTAATATCTCCTCATCTTCCTTAATCTCTGTCTTGTATCACCTACATTTCCACTTTGCTTCTCCTTCTTTGTTGGGACCTTAAAGGAAACACCTTTGGTTTTTTGGAAGACAAGCTGAACTCTGCTATGAGTAATCTGAGGTTCTAAGCAGCTTTTTGAGGGTTAGGGCTTTTATTTCTTCTCATTTTGCGCACCCCATTCCCCTCATCCTTTCCTGTTTTCTGATGAATTTATTCCAAATTTATTAGAAAGGGCTCAAACCCAAAAGTGCCAGATCCAAGCCATCATCCAACCACGAGAGCTCAGTGCTGGACATAACATTGCATAAGTGATCCTCTGCCAAATACCAAAACACATCTCTGGGGAAAATAACAGTCTGGAGAGCAAACTTTAGAAAACAGCATCAAATAGTGTTCATCAAATTTCTGTAGCAAAGGGTTGGGGCTTTTAATTTAATTTAATTTAAATTAATTTTTTTAAAAAAATCCTCAGAGATAATCCTAATATTATAGATGCTGGCAAAAAAATGTTTCTTAAACTTAATAGAAAGACAAACTGGGCTTAACAAGGGCAGCAGTCCTTTGAGACAGCCTCCTTTTACCATAGGAGCAGCTAAGGAGAGTGGTGCCAGTCAAAAATAAAGTACAGATATGGTTACAGGAGAAGCAGAAAACATGAGATTACAGATGATTACAGAAGCAACCCTGCAGAACCCAAGTCAAATGCCAAAGTAACTGAGTGCAAACAGCTTCGTCCTCACAAGAGAGGGAGGAAAACACAATGAAGCTGCCTCTATACAAAACTACAGAAAAAATTACTAAGTCCTGCTTAGTGACATACACCTTTAAACAATCACATTATGGGACTCACAGATTTCAGATATCTCTAAACCAGGCTTTTTAAATGGAATATTATCAAAAATATCAGTTTCCCAACTCATTTCACTTGTGTTCAGCTCTGAAGTTACAACCTGTGATCTGTGTTTCATAATTATTACTTAAAAAAATGCCTAGCATCAAAGGAAAATTTGTTAAGGGAAATTTAAAGGTTTTCCCTAGACACATCAATCTACTGAAATATCATTCCTAAAGGAAACTGTTTCATGCCTAAAAGTTGCTTCACTGCTGATATGTTCCTATAATGAAGACCTAGCTCAGCAGAGAGATTTATTGGTCCATTTATAATCTACTGAGAAAATGAAGGATGAGAACTGAGAATCAGGAATGCTGCTGCACATACTGGCTCATTTAGACCCACCAGTGTAATTAGCACTTCTACAAAATGGAACAAAGAAATGGGCACACCAAGAACTCTTGCTCATCACATATTCTTGGAGCTTCTATCTTGGAAACCTTTCCCAAAATACTTAGAGGAAGATTTAATATAGACAACTATATATAATACATAAAGCCAGGCAGGTGACTCAATGTTTTGAGAGTGGAAGTTTGACCTCTGTGATAAATGGATAAATGATCAAAATCATCTGTTTTAGCAGCCAGGATAAAGAGAATAAGAGCCCAGAAGGTGTTAAAGCAGATATCCTACACTGCACGATGATGGGACTATTCAGAAATCCTCTTTAAAGGGACTGGAGCAGAAAAGGAAGGGAAAACTCTCCAAGTATCCTAACCTCTATCCCATTGAGAAGGAGATGTTTGGATGTTCTGGGCAAGGAACAGTAATAGAAAGACAGAACACACATTTTAAAGAAGTTTTTCTCAGAGAGTGAGAAGTCAAGTCACGTAGTCAAGCAGAAGAAGAACTCTCTTTCTTCAGATCCCCCAAGTGCACTGCCCTGGACCACAGCTGCAGTTGGTGGCACACTGGCTTCATTCCCTGTTATAAACATCCTCCCTGTATCCTCTGGTGCAGTAAATCACTTGGAGTTTGAGTGGGAGGAATGGCAAAATTAATCTCCCATTCTCTTGTGTAGGCACAGCACTACTTTCGCTGTGACCACATCAGAACTCTCCAAAGAGCTGCCGTGTAATTATGGGATGCCCATCAGCCATTTTGGTGAACTACATTCCCACTCTACCCTCTCTTCTGGGCAAACGTGGATGACAGCAAATAATAGAACAGTTCCTCTGTAGCCATCTTCTTCCAGATGTCACACAGCAGCTTCTGGACTCAGCAGTCCCTGCCACCCCACACGGTATCCACTGGCACCATGGGATGACAGATCCCTTCTGGTGTCCATCTTTTGAGTGGTCTAAAACAAGTACTTCAAAACACCCAGGAATTACTTCAAATCCAGACACAAATACTAATTATTCCTCCTTATTTCCAAAAAATAGTTTGTGCTGACCCTTTGACAAATATTTAACTCCGTTCACTTGCATGGCTCTATTTCCAGACTTCCTGAACTACCAGGACAGACGAGGAACAGCAATGGACATTTTGTCTTTAAGGTAAAACAACATCCTAAAGCCTGTATTTTGTTAACAAGGACTCCTAAACCTGTCCCATGCTGGCCCCCTGTTTTGGCACATCATTAAATTTGGTCTTCGCTGGAGCAACAGAAGCTCCAAGGAGAATTCTGAGGGTATCTTTTCTTTAGGACTATTACTAGGTGTTTAATGAGGCAAATGTGTGATCCTATAATGTGTAATAGAGACACTTTATGAATTTCAACAAAGCTATAACACAGAGGGTATTACATCAGAAACCTCACCAGTGGTGCACACATACCAACCTTGACTCTCCAAGGCAAAGCTGTCACACAAGCACTCAACAGATAGATAGCAAAGTTTACTTTACATCCCTCAAAGGCCTCCATTTGAAAAAAAAGTACATTTAATACATGCTCTGTCCAGCTGTTGTCTTACCATTTGCCTTGTGCTGCACATCTGGCGGAAGCTGGTCAGGAACATACCACTGATAGTCTGGCTGCACAGGAGAATGAAACATTATTGCAGCAATATGAACTTCACAGGCACTTCAAACAAAAGAACAGTGACATGATAAAAACATAATTGTGCTGTGAAGCCTCTCATTAGCCATACAAAAGCAGTTTAAAACAAAATCATATATTTAAGTTTGTTTCTAGCAGTCCCAGTCTTCCAGCTTGCTTCCTTTCCTATGACATTAGAAAAACTGGTGTAAACCTTTCTAGATGCCACAAATCACAATGACACTTAAAGAGAACCAAACCAGACTTGAAAAGGGCTGAGGAATAAAGTGCAGCAGAAGATACAGCAGGCATCTCCCTATACCAAAGAACCCCAGAGAAACCTGGCCCACCTGACAGGAGCTGCTCCAGTTTGAATGCATCTGTAAAATGCTCCAGTGTGACAGGAATGAAACATGGAATGAAGTTCTCTCTCCTCATCCCTTTGCTCACAGGTCAGCACTGCTGTTACTATAGCATTAGCTGTTATCAAGTAACTTCCTGAAAACACTGTGGGAGAGGGGAAATTCCCATCTTTCTCGCAAGAGGAAGTACTGGGAAGGTTATGTCCATGCAGACACAGTTTTATCCAGGGAAATCTTGGAAGAAATAGTGACTTATAGTTTATACCCCCCACTGTGGTAAATGAGTAGCAAATTACCACTAGAGAAAACAACTTTGGGACCAGTCATTTAAGCTGAAGCTGTGTTAGGCTGTCTGGAATAAGTAGTCCATGCAAGCTTGTCAAAATCTAGGTAATTGCTGCTTCAAATTAGTTACACTGGAAAAATGTTTCTTGTTTTGCAGAAATTACTCTGACAAAATCATTGAGTAGCCCCAAGGGAAATCTTGCAGATTTCAATTTACAGGGAACAAATTTCATAGACTCCTACAGAAGTTTTGCCTGAATTAAGATGGCAGGATGAAGGTGTAGATAGAGAAAACAGATTTAACTTCTATGTTGTGTTGTCACTCATGCTTATACAGCAGTAATCACTCTCATACACTGTCAGGAAAAAAAGGAGCTATTTTATTTTAACTTAAATGGTACCAGTCACAGGAATTATTGAGTAATTCTGTGCCTGTGTGCAAACAAAGTAGACTTTGATACAAAGCTTTTAGCACAGGTAGTTTTTCCACCAATGGCTCAAATTACACTCATTTGCATTGCTCTTTTGAGTTTCTGGTGAATTTTATGTTCTCTGATCAATTCTTCTCTTTTTATGTACCTATACCCCGCAAACTTGAATGAATTTCAAGAACAAGACGTGTACTTCACTTCAGACTAACCAAAATGTTTCTACTGGAGTGTAAAAAGGAAAGAAAAAGTGCAAGAACAGAAAAAGAACGAAAAAGCAAAAACACAGCCTAAACATGCAGGATTACGTATCAGGACACCCATTAAATTCTAACACCTTTCTTCATTGCTAACAAATTGCTCAGGGAGGTACCCAAAGCTCAGAGCAGCAACTCACACAGGCAAAGAATTGAAAAAAAAGGGTCAGAATGAAACTGGGAGTTACAAAGCAACCAGTCAGACTGACACCGGTGCTCTGGCAGGAATGACAAAGTTGTAAACCCAGTGATCCCTCACAGAATTAGAAACCCAGATGATGAAAGTTCAGGGAGAAGAGCCAAAATAATCTGGGCCACTGTCCAAATTGCAGGGAAAAACATTCTGCAATACTTCCAACTCTGATAAATAGGCAGATAAGCACACCCCTGAAGCACAGAAATTACTTGTCTGATCACAGCTTTTCCATTGGATTTCTACAGCCTGAAAGCGTTACATGCATTTTGCAAAAAATCAGCTATAATTTCTCAAATAATGAGCATCTTTCCATATGTGACAGCTTTATAGCCAGAATCAGATATTGTGTATTTAAAATGACATCCAGCATGTTTAAATGCATTCTCAGTAGATTGGAACAAGCCAGCCCACTTAGATAACCCAAAGCACATAAAAAATGTTCTTTGAAGCAGTATTTTCCTTGGAATAAATAGCTCCCACTCACAGAACCTGCTCTAGTGCAAAGCTATTCTTCTTTGTGCTGAGGAAGACAGGACCCTGTGGTGTTCCAGGAAAAAAGGCACATTTCCCATTGTGTTAGCCACACTCAGATACAACTTCTACTTCTGCTGATTTGGTTTTTATTATCTTATGTTGAAGGCTCAGAGCATATCCTTCTAAAGTGGGGTAATTATACAGCTAGAAAGGGCTCTGAATGTGTGCCATGGGAATAAATTAATCTAAGAAATCAGCAAGACTCAAATCAAACAACTGTATTTTTTAAATGAACAAACAAATGTAAAAGAACCCTGTTTTTCTTCTTAGTGCTGTTACAGATGAAGAGTATTTGCCAAAGTGAATTCAATCTTGATCTGGATTAAACAACACACTAGGAAAGCACAGATTCAGTTGCTGCTGAGGATGGCAGGGTGATAGCACCTGTGGTCACCATGCTTTGAGAACATCAGTGTCCCTGTCACACAGGTGATGGTGGGAGCCTTACCGAGCGCTGCTGCTGCTGCTTCTGTGCCCTGTGAAGCACTGGATGTGCCCGAGGATCTGGGCAGTGAAGAACCATTCCACAACCCCCATAACTGACACAGGGAGAGAGGAAGAGTGGAGCTGGGTAACTGGGCCTCTCAGGCTGCACTGGGAGGTCTTTTGTCTGTCAAGAAAATAAGAGCAAGAAGAAATGCATTAGCAGTGGAATACAACCAACAGGTCAGGTACAAGTGGGTTGCAATGCTGATTGTTTAGCCCCTTCATACTTCTTATCATTAAAAAAATTATTTAAGACAGCTGACTTATGCCACACCACAGTCTTGACACCTTTTATGTGAGGAAAATATTGGTCCCAAGATAAGACAAGCACATGACTGTGTCTTTTATATTCAAAAACTATTCTGTATTTTAATTACACACAGTCACTTTCAATAGTTTGAAGGAGAACTACATGGACAGTCACTTGCATGACAAGATAAGTAAATAATTTTGGTATAGGACCAAAGTTGTTGGCCTCAGATTTGGGTCTGTCTTTTCTTAGGCCCTCTGCATTCCAGTAGAGTCAACAGCAATTTGCCTAAGGTTAGAATCAGGAAGGGCAAAAGATGATTAATATTCTGTGACTCTGTGAGTCACAACTAAATAATTTGACTTAAGAAAACAAGCTAATAAATATTTTATATGCTTGCTCTCATCTTTAAAATGCTCCACAAGCTCTGTTTAATAAAATCCTGAGGCAGGAAGAGACAAACAGGAAGATCTCCAGTGTGAACTGCTGGTGCACTGCAGGGACAGTCAAGCACAACATCACTGAAACCAGCCAGAGTGAGGGGCACTGGGCAGCACCCAGCCTCTGACACTTCAGCAGGACCCCACCACCTCTGCTGCATGGCTTGGTTGAGAATAAGACAATCCTGAAGTTTCTGTGTCAAAACAATGCTGGGGAGGACAATAAATCACCACAGAGCATTTTGGTAATCAGCCGTTCTTTTAAAGTATTGCACAATTTTGTCAAGACAGGAAACCTCGGAATTTCGTCATTCTTAAATGGGGATTGAGAAAGCTCAGAGTTTTGCATGCCATGATTTTACTATGGCTTCCTACTGACACTACTTTGAAGAGATAAAAAGGATGTTGCAAGAAAAAATTATTGCAGAGGCTGCTCAGCTAATTTGTATGGAGACCATTTCTTTCCTCAGTGATATTACCATCACTCTAATTCAATTGCAGAGGTCAGGATTAACTACAGAAGCTCTTTATTTCAAAAGTTGGTTTGATCTCACAACTCTTATATCAAGTGCCAGTGAAACAATCAAAGTCCTCTGGATTTGTTTTTGGTTGTGTCCACCCTCCCCCTCCTCCATTTTCAGATATGTTTGAAAAGTTTTTGCAATAAATACTCCCTTCATCTACTTATTTTAGAAGTCTTCTCTAATCGTTCCTCATCTTCTTAACTGCATTACTTCAGAATGATTTCATCCCAGGTGGTGACCTCATATAAAATCCAATGTCAATTAATGGAAGCCAGAAAGCCTCGAGTTGTGTGGAAAGTGAGAAAAAAAAATAAAATACACATGTGCTGGCAATGGGAGCTTTCTTTTGACTCATACCTGAGAGCTGAGTTTACTCAGTTGAGATTGTAATCTCTCATTAATTTTCTGCAATGCTTCTTTCTCCTCATTAAGCCTCTCTCGGTCAGATCTCTCCTTCCTGAAGTCTTCCTCGTATATTTGGACCTGCAATCATCGTGAACGGTGTGTGAACTTCTGCAGACTCGCTTTGTAGTTTGGTTGCTTTTTAAATTCTGCCCAAGCAGAAGGATGAATTCCAAGGGGATCCTTGCTCTGTACAGTCCTCCAAAAAAAGCTTCCCTTGTCTTTTTTTGTGACTGATACAAAGTGACAATTAATGGCCATTCTCCAGTGGCACTCATCAATTGCAACTGAAATTGAAAATTGAAACAGTCCCCAGTGCCAGTTTTTGTACAACCTTGCGCATCAAAAAGCAAAAATCAGTTTCAAATATTATAAATGAGATAGCAAATACTGGTATCCATCTTTTTAAGGGATTACCAGTAGGAGGACAAATATTTTATCAACGTTTTTCCAGTTTTCTCTTCAGTTATGGGCACTTTTAACTCCCTCCTGTATATCTCAGGTGGAAGGAGTTAGAGAAGAACCTCCACAGCCCAGTGTAGAGGCAGAGGGGAGAATAATGTACACCATTCCAAATGGAATGGAATGTACACAATTCCCAGTGGAAATACAGATGTTTGACCCTGTTCCTAGAAAATAAGCTGCCTTGCAAATGCTGAAGGATGCAGTGGCTTAGTTCTTTTTTATGTGGTCAGGAATCACAGAGCTTCATCCCATTAAAAAATATCTGACCACCCCAGGCACAGGCAGCGAGCACAGATTTGGAAACAAAACACAAATCCATAAATTATTTGGTATTAAGATGACTGCCTTAATTCTTCAGCTAATAGGCAGGCATCCACCTGGTGCGAAGTTGGAGGCTGGTGGCCTCTAACTTCTACTGACAAATAACAGTAAAGGCATGTTTGAGAGGGAACTGCCACCAGAATTTTCAGAAGTCCTTTCCTGTCCCCTTGGTTGCTCACTAAAGCCTGCTGACAGTCTCTTCCCAAAAATCTTGCTTGCTGTGGCTCATGCCCTGTCCATTGGACAGATCCAGTTCTCTTTTTGCTGGAAGCAGTGCTATGACTTCACAGAAGGAGTAGAAAAATGTTAATATCTCAGGGGAAGAAAGATCCTGTATAGAGCACAGGGTTCTATAGATTCTTTTCCTGACCCTCCAAAGCAGACAAAGCTGTCACTTGCAGAAATCCCTGCATCCCTTGTCCATCCACACACTTCTCTCCTCATTATTTCCTCCTTTCTTCTCTCCCAATTCCTTCTCTGCTGTCCCACCTCCCTCCCACTCCCCAGCTGTATAATCTGCTGGAGCTGCAAGGGAACCTCTTTGGCACAGATTTGCCATTTATCCTGCTGCCCTGAGAAAGAAGGGACACCTCCCAAGGAATGAATGCCTTCATCTCCACTGCCGTGACCAGGGATGGGCTGATGACAACCAAGCTCCCATGGGACTCTGTCATGTCACTCTTTGTCCCAAGAGTCCCTCCTCCGTCCAGTTAGAGCATTCTGCTCCATTTCATGTAGAAGGAAGTCTGGACTCACTGTACTGATTTATACAACTAGAAAAACACATTCATAAAATGGATACCCCATGAGAATTTTGGAAAAAAAACCTGGTTTACTCTATTTTATTGTGTAGAATGAAATAACTCATTACTGTACAATCAAGTGCAGGATTTTGTTCACCAGCATGTGGCAAGCATTACATTAGAGAGCAAAATCTGGCTCTGCTGTCAAACGTGACAGAAACAAGTATTTTATTCCCATTGAATAAAATTCCCATTCTGATCACATCCATTTGTGTGTCAATAATGTTAACGCTGACACTATCCAGGACAACAGACCTGAAGTGTTAAAATTATCTGAAAACTATATTGTTTTTAAACATATTCTATCATATGGAGAGAAAGACTGCACAAAACATTTGAGCTGCTCAGAACAAAGATTAAAAAACAAATAAACACAAATCTATAGTCCTTGGGATGCAGGCTATGAATGTAAATGGTCTGCCTCACACTTAGAAAAACTGCAGTGCCAATGCTCTAGTTTTCCAAGACTAGGATCTTTGGATAATTGGCTACACTGGCACCTTCTAAGATAAAGGGATCAGAAAACACAGCCAGTAATTAATGAAATTTAGCATCCCCTCTGGATGACATTCAGCCCCTAACAGAGAGCTGGCAGGAGGACACCTCCAAGGGTCAGAAGAGCCATTCTGCTGCTTTGAGTCCTCCATAAGTCCTTCCTCCAGTCCTTTGCCAGGACCCAGTTTCACTTTGTGGACTCTGCTGTGATGACAGCATCTGGGGAAACATCATTCCAAGGAGCTGTGGCTAAACTGGCTCTTCCTTTCAGAAGCTCTACACAGCAACTCTACCAAGCACAATCCCTGGGAGAGAAGGCAAAATTATGCTGTGTGAAAGAACAGCTCACTTGAGCTGTTCTTACCTGCTGTTTAAGAACTTCAAGTTGGGTTCTCATCTCCTCAATGCTGCTCCTGTCACCCTTCCCTGGAGGAGTCCCAACAACAGGTGGGTGCTGCTTTTTCAACATGTCCAGAAGGGCCTGCAACATCAAACAGCAAAATTACTAAACAGAGATTCACTACATGAAAAAGTAAAAAACATCCTTTAAAATTTCCCCTTCACTTGTAGTTGCTTCAGTTATATACACTGCATATAAACCCACTTTACTACAGCAAAATCTGACTGAAACATTTTTTGCACGAAAAGTAGGAATTCCTTCACATGGAACAAAGTAAACCCTCCTGTTTGAGAGGAAGTTATGTAGTCTCTATAGTTTGTCACTAGAGGGAGTTATGAATACACACAACACTGGTACCACTCTTACCTGTTTTACTGTGAAATTCTGCCACAGTTCTTCACAGACTTTATTTTTACAGTATTACACAGCTCTCCCTTGGACTGGAATAATTAAATCACTCCTACATCTCTCTGTCTATAGCCACAAATTATAATGATATATTCTTTTCTTTACTCTAGCACAAATACCATTCAGTACTTTTCATTCTCTCACCTAAGATACAAATCCCTGACTTCATCCCCTTTAGAAGTTGAATTTGTGCTGATGATCCTCAGCGCTCCCTTGCTGCCCACACTCATACAGGAAGGATGGAGGGGGAAGAGGCAAACAGGGAAGAAGGGGCCAAGCAGGAGAACCAGTATCCAAAGTAATACAAGAATTGGTATTAATTATCCAAGGCCCAACTAAAACCAAGCACTTTCCATGGAAGCATGGAAAAGGAAACTTCTTAACTGATGAGGTGCTGTCCTTAAGAATTGTCAGAAGTGAAACTGGTTATAATAGTGGCAAAGTTTTGTTCCATGCCAATACATTCAGAAGGTTGGACCTAAAACTGGGAGGGTGAAAATACAGACACCTTGATTACTGATTAACCCTTCTTCGGCCCCACTGAATCCCCCTTCAATACCTTTTTGAGAAGGTTCTACAAGTTAGAATTATGGAGCAGGAAAAAAGGGAAAAATCCGGAAAACCAATCTTCAAAAAGTTATGGTAAAGTGCATATAGTTTTTAAACTGCATTTGGACACAATACTGTGAGACCCTGCTTTATCCATTCACATAAGAAGAAAAATTTGTTTGATTTCAGAGAATTTGTAATAACTTCGAGTGGCTGAACCTGAAATAGCAGGGGACTAAAGTTAAAAGGGCACAGAGGGTCCCTTCCTGTCTCATGTGTATTCATGACATGAGATGTGAAGGACACAAACACACAGAAAATCAGTAAATTACTGTTGGGAAAGTGTCTATGAAATTGATGCTTCATTTAAAAGAATGGTCTATATACCCTGTCTTATTACAGTCACATCATTTGTTGTCTAACAAATAAAACTTTTCAATAAGTTGCTTAACAAACAAGGCCTTGAACTAAAGTTAGACTGGAGCTTTGAGCAAGTCCCGTCAATGCATTTCAAGAAGAGCTAGATATCATGGATTCTGTCAGATTTTTTCTTATGGCAGCATTATGTTTTTGGCTTGACTTTTGCACATTATGGCCCTTTAGCTTATTAAAGCACTTATTAAAGCCATACAGCAATGGTTACTGCAATGCATTTCCTCAGGAAGTGTTTGTGGTTCACCATGAAATACAAAATTGTTAGAAAACACCCACTGCTTTATGTGATCATTTGATTAAACAAAATTGTATTTATTACTTTCCTCGGTTAAAAAAAATTCCATGTAGCTATTTCATGACAATTTCCTCAGTGAGACATAAATACACATAATATAGGTATGAATATGTGTGTGTATGAGTATAAGCAATAGGACAGGACCATGTCTTCTGAACAGAAGCCATCATTCTCAAACACAAAATACATGTTAAATGAGTTTTTAAGCTGTATGACCTTTCTTTTCAACCACAGTCTTTTATTAGGTGCACACAAAAGCATCTTTGTACCATTTCCCCTTTGCTCTGAGGAGAGAGGATGTAGAAAGGACTTACACATGACATGTAGAGAGGTTTAATAGGAGAAGCCAAATACTCTCTGGATTTTTCTCCTTGCAATGCAACCCTGCTACCTGCCAAGGATTTAGACCCTGCACGCACAGGTCTGAGCTGAAGTGAGTTCTGGCTCATTTCCCCAGCTTCCAAATGGTGATCATGTGTTTGCCACCAGGTTGTTCACCCAGAATTGAAAAGATGGTATCTAGTAGGTCACTGACAACAGAGATCCCAGAATTAGAGGAATCAGTAGTTGACTCCTGTTCCTACCTTGTTGAGACGGCTTATTTCACTCTCATAATATTCCTTCCTCCTGGTCATCGAGGCATTCTTCTGCTTCAGGAGCCTGTTCTCTTCCTTCATTTCATGGAGAGCTTCACTAAGGACCTCTGTATCTTTCTGGGGTGCAAAAATACAGAGAGATGCTGCAGAAAAGCAGATGGAAACATTTTTCAAGAACAATTTTCCAAACAATCTTCTGTCTGACAGATGTGCTGCATTTTTGTTGTCCCAAACACAGTTGGGAGGGGAGGCAGCAGGAAGGCAGATCATTAGTACACACAGATATGATAAAGTCTGTAGAAATTGTTTTGACCACTCACCATATGATGAGACAGAGACAACATACCAGACTAAATCCCTGCTCTCTGCAGTTTGCATGAAGGCATGGGAATGCTGGCAGGCCAAGCAGTTCAAAATCACACCCACTGTTACCCCAGACCTGCATTTCTCTTATGTACTCAGAGAATAAGACCAGGGCTAATGCTGGTAGAGTCCCAGCCATTCCCAGTGCCATACAACACTAAAGACAAAAACAGGAGAAAAAAGTACTGCAAATATTTTCTGCAGCTGCTTTATGTGAATAAAAAAGTGAGATCCAACAATCACAAGCACAGCACACCACAGGAATGGGGTTTTTTTATGTATAAAAGGCTCATCTCTGTGCAGCCAGTTGCAGTTTGGGCTCATCAGAATTTCATCACCATGTGCTAACTAAGACAGTGAAAAATACCCCTGAGTAACTTACTTATACATGAGGAAGCTTAACTCTGTTGTGCTCTCAGTCAGCTGGGACATTTCATTTTCTCCAAAAACCAGGCAAGATTAGCAGGGTATCTCTGCAATAAGTATAGGAACTCATCCAGCAGCTTGCTCAAGCTGACAAGCACTTATTGGCTGAGTGTGTAACTTTAAAGAAATTGCAGATTTAAGAACAAAGTTCCATGCTGGTAAACCTGACTCCATAAAAAAGTTTTGGATTATACCGTCATTTAGTTCATTATTCATGTATGCAGTAAAAAAATCTGAGAGAGTGTACTACTCATCCTTATTTTTATAAAATAGTAGTTATTTTCCCAGGTATTCTACATTAAAAGGCAGTAACGTGAACAGAAATATGGGCTGTCTCACATTGAATCAACACTCAGAGCAAAGTGATTCAGCAAGTACATAACACAGTTTGTCTTAGAACATGTAAATTGCTCTATGGATTTGGAATCAATATGTGCTTAGCTAGGACTAATTGATAAAAAAGTAAGATGAATGTTCTGCTTATGCAGGTGTAAGCTAAGAGGGTTGCATTTCTTTTCCTGCAGCAACTAACTCACATTTTATCTGACCCTGGAAGTGATGCAATAGCCACTTTTTTTCAGGTTACCACGTGAATAGAGAAGCCCAACTTCAGCCATCATCACCATCTAGAAACTCTCACTAGAGGTCATGAAGTACATGATACCATGAAGCAGAATGAGAACAGGAAGCACCATGCTGAGGCATTTCTAAATCGGAGCACAAAGTTTTATGTAGGTGCCCATCATTCAGGCTGATGGTTTTACTGAGGTGGGGATCCAGCTCAGGGATCTAAATTTAGGTTCAGAAGCCCACAACAAGAGCCAGGTCCCAAGGAGTCCTGAAAGAGCAGCCCAACCACTCCGAGGGTGAGGTGAACACCACTCTGGAGCAGCTGATCAGCCCAGACACTTGCAGCCCTGATAAATGCACTGACAGTGTCACTAATATTTGCAGGGAGCTGAGATAGCTGCACATGTACAAGAGCCTGTACTGTCAATACCAAAACCTGGAGCTGCATTCATTCCTTGAGTATCTTTTGCCAAGCACATTGTGTAACATCTGCACTGCTGTTCCTCTGCCATTTGAAATACCTGCAGCATTTTCCTGCACAAAGAAATTCACCCTGAACTGAACTATGAGGAGGGAAATCTGTGCAGTGTAGAAATCAACCTGCTCTTTACTCCCCCACACACTAATATGCTGTCTGCCAGTCATATGGAAATGACTCTTTCTCTATACACAGTTCTGTGATGAGGCAGCTCAGCAGCCTTGGGTAGGATATTGAAGAGCCACAACCTCACCTCTGGGCTGTGCACAACCCACGCTCTGCCTCACAAAAGGGGAGAAAGATGAAAGGCAAGAGAGAGCTCACCACAGAGCACAAAAGAGGTGCCACAGGGCACCCTCCTACCTTTTCCTGCAACAGCCTCTCTCTGCCCAGCACTCGCCACCTCTCCTCCTCTGGATGCTGCTGGTGCCTCTCCTGCTCCAGCTCGCTCACTCTCATCTCCGACACGTCCAGCCTTGCCTTCATCTCTGTCAGCTGAAAAGCAAGTGACACCATGATGGGCTCATTGAGGATTCTGAAAGGCACAGCACCTTCATGGCATTGAGCCAGAGCCATAAAAACAGTTCCAGATTAAATGAGGAAGATCCATTTGGATTCCTCTTCTCTTTGGGGGTAAAAGAAAAGGAATTTTTCAGAGCTTGGCAAAGATTTCTGGAAAATATTAGAGAAAATATAAGCACATGAATTCATTCTATAAACTTCCTGTTCATAGCAGGAAACAGTAGATGAGGAGTGTCAGTCAATGAACCAACTTGGGTTCTGGAATACCAGACAAAATTGTAAGCACTGAACTTCACTAGGCAGCTGGTGATAATGTCTGCAGCAATGACACCAAAAGCAATAAGCAAGGAATAAAAGCTATGTCAACTGGATCTTGGATGGAAAAATAACAGAAATCAAAATATGTCTTTACAACTCGTTTTGAGAGTCTCTGCTTTCAGAGGACAACTTTCATGGAGAATTTACCAAAACTTCACAAGAGATGGGACAAACACCAGCATATGGGTGATGATGTGGATCAGGAGCTGGGCACACCAGGCTGATTTTCAGTTAATTGTGCTCTCAGTTCTGTGCAATTTTTACTACAGTGTGGAGGGCATGAAGATCTCTGCTGTCATGTCCACACTGACCCTACTGTTTTAGGGACACTCTGCTTCTCTGGTTAGTTTGTCCTGCTGAAGACTGGCACACATTGGCTTCACTTTTATATGATGACATTTTTTCAATTTATGAAATCAAGACAAAGTAAGATATTTATCATGGCTATGGCTGGCTGGTATTTAAACACAGACTTAACTGTCAGCAGGTGGCACACATATTGCAACAGAAGTTTGTCAGCATTGTTACCTGCTTTTCATAAAGCTGTTTCATACTTCTAAATTGATGATCCCATTGCTTGTTCACTTCCAAAAGCTGTAATTACCAGGAAGGTACAGTAAATAACACTTATTTCAACATTTTCAGTAAATCAAAAACAGACTGGCATTCTAATCCTCTGTCAGTGAGTGTTCCCAACCTCCTCATCATCTGGCCAGTTCATTTATTTCAGAAGAGGCAAGTTTGAGGTTTGGCAAGCCTTGCAGCCCATCTGCCAGTGCTTTGGTATTTCAGTTAAAGCACATGAACATTCAGGAAGCAACACTCAGGAAACATGCAAATACACAACAAGCTACAGGTGGATCATTTGCAACACTGCACAAATCCAAAGCGGCAACTCCTAAATGGCCAGGGACTTTCCTGCCAGTTTGCTACAAGTTCCATGACCATATTTCCAATTAGAAAGTCTTTGACTTCAAACAAATGAATGGAAGACTCCTACTGATTGGGATAGTACTGAGTGCAAAACCCTGCTTGTTGTTCCTTGGCCTTTAGCAATAGTGGTTATTAATAAAATTTGCCCTTGGTACTAAATAAACCTCTGCTCTTCCAGATTCATAGGCATGTACAATCAGTCATCATGTGGTTAAGGGTATATTTAAGATTACCTCTCGTCTCTGTCCTTCCAGTGTGAGGATCTGTTGCTCCAGAGAATTAGATGACGAAGGCTTCTTTTTGCTCAGTAATGTGTGCCTTGACTGGAGAAAAGCAATGTTCAAAAATTAACCCTTCTGGCCTATTCTCTTCAAGATTCTCTTGTAAAGCTCCCATCCACCCTGACAGGTGCACAAAATGAAACTGAAACAAACTTTTTCTTACACCAAATTTGTATCTAAATACCTTCACACCTGCTGGCAGCTGATTCTGGAGAGTACACCTGCTTTAAACCCACTCAGGCTGTGTTTTAATTGAAGCATTATGCAAATAGCCACTGAAATAACCAAAATTGTATCTATTTGTACCATCTGAGACACGGAACACGAAAGAGGTTTTTAATTATCTTGCAGATGACAATACAAACAAGTAGTACAAGCCACAAAAGTTGAGCATGACTTGGAGTGGGTGTGAGTAATTCCCCTCATTTAGAAGAACTCGAATAATTAATAGGATTGCCCCTGATAAGTGCTTGCAGGCCCATGGTGATAAACTTTAGCACAATGGGCTCAAAGCAAAAAATACAGAAAACAAATAGGCCATTTGGAGAAATTTAGAAGATCAGTCTGCAAATGTTCAATTTTTTTCAAGCATGGAGTTTCACCCATGCAGGACAGCAGCAGCTAGACCCTCATTTTTATAATGGCAGTGTTCTATATCAAAATTTCCAAGAAGTTTCTATGGATTGTCATGGAAAGAAACCTGCGATCTATTAGCAAGAAAGAGAGAGAACTGGAAAAAAAGAGATGGCCTCATAAAAATAGAACATACTCTGGTTAGATACATGCTCAGCAGTTTTTGTTTCCCTCCCTAAATTTTCAACCAATATATGAAAAACAAGAATAATGGTGCAAGCACTTCTGAGGTCTGGAATAAATTTTCTGTAGATAGAGAATTTAATGCTGAATACCAATGAAGATCAAAAGACAGTGTTGCTGTGTCTTTTCAAAGGCAAAAATCCCAACCACATATTTGCCCCATGGCCAGTCCTGCTGAACTCTGATGTGGAGCCCTTGACTTCCATGCCAGAAAACATTTAATCCCTCTTCTTGTAGCTCACAGTTGTGTTTAATTTAGAGTATCTGAAGCAATACCTGGCAGCTAATTAAGTTATTCCCATGCTGAATTGCTTTCAGCATCTGGGCCTTAGGCATATATTGAAGAACATATTTAAGAATGGTAATAATGTGAATAGGACAACTCAACTACACATACACTTGGCACCAACTAGCCCAAATACTGCTCACAGAAGTTAGGGGATCACTCAAATGAACCACTTTGCACCCTTTGTGCAACTTCTGGAGGTCAAAAAACCCCATTAGAAAAGGGCTTCTAAGAATGCCATTTGCAAAAGTATTTCTAACATTTCCTTCCACTCTTACACGGTTTGAATGATTGAGAAAAATCTATTAGAGCACCAAGATCAGCCCATAATTGTCAATCTACAGAGTGACCTGCACTAGTTCAGAAAACACTTCAGAGAACAGCCAACACTGCCACTTACCTGCAATGGTTCTGATGGAGCTTCCATGTCACTCCCACCTGCCCAGTTGCATCCAAGCCAGCCTGGAGTGTTTCCTTCACTCTGGCTCTTTGGAGGAAGAAGAGCAATGAAAACAGATTTTATGTTGGCTGAAAGAGCAGGAGAATTGCTTTCAGACCCAGAAGATCCAGGAGTGCTGCCTGTGGAAGCAGCTACGATCCAGAAAGTAGTGGTGGAATTCTGATTTTAACCTTTTCCTCCTTCCTGGCTGGGGCTTCCCAGAATGGATGAAGCACAATGCCTATGACTAATGTGCCAGGCAAGGCAGCTTTGTGTGCATGGAAGTCACAATTGTCTGGCCAGTTCCCCCCAGAGAGGAAGTTGCATGCAAGGGAAGGAAGAGTATTTGCTTTTTCAGTAAATAAGAGGACAGGCTTTTCTATCCCTGCTTCCAGTTATAAAAAAATGACTTCAGTAATTACAACAACTATTGACACTAAGAGTGATTATCAGAACAGAAGAATGAGTGAGTCATGATTCTAAAGGAGCAATAGCAAAGTCTGTTAACAGCTACAGGGAAGAGCACCCCCATACAAAAACCCCAAGATGTTTAGGGGAAAACCAACACTGGAAAATTGATTTTTTTCCCCAAAGAAAAGTTGCACATAGTTGAAGAATGACCAACATTGTATTTGCACTTCTGCCACTTGCCTTACCTGAGCACGGATCCAGCTTCAAGACACTCAAGACTTGAGAACTCAAAGGTACCCAACACTCCAAAGTTGTGTCCCAGTTTCCCATTTGAAGGAAGATGTTAGCCTTACCAAGTTAAACTCACAGAAAAGATTAACAAAGAAAAGGCTTGCACTGACTTCCTATACAAAGTCAGAATGAAACACAAAAGTGCAAAGTGTTCACGTCCTCAGTCTTGGAATTCTGAATATTAATGAATTTCAGAGAGAAGCATAGAAGAAAAATACTACTCCTTATTGTGGAAAGATCTCTGGGTCTATGGCTTTTGCAGTGGCAGCAGATGTTGCTTACTTCATTTTAAAGGAATGAAATGAAAGCTAACCTGTGAAATTCAACATAAAATAATAGAAATACATCTTTCAATTTCCAAAAACAGATTTAGAGAAAGTAAAGTAATCCTGTGAAATGGTGAAATTTTGCACCCACATTCCAGATATCTGGTTCACAATGTATGACTAAGCAACTCCTCTTTTGCAAGATAGAAACCCCAATTTGGAAGAAAGCTACTGGTTTATAATATTTGCATATGAAATATGTCCTGCTACCCTGAGGTTCTTTCCATTTTTCTCTTAGTTTAAGGACCAGATGGAAAACTTGTGGTGTATCAAGAGAAAAATTTAAAAACAAAGGTTATTTTAATGAAGACATTTCAGATTCTACATAGGAGTCATCCTATTCATCAAAAATTAGAAGAACTACATCTGTACCTATATCAGTGCTAGACATTGAGCATATCAGGTTGAAGACTATAAACTGGTGCAGAAAAGCACCAACACTGGACATTTGCTTAATAAAAATACAATCACAAGCCTTCCACATTGCACATCTGCTCTTGAGGGCGATGCCTCTCAAGCCCAGACACTGTCCCTTCCCCAGCTCCCACTCACAAATCTCATCCCCACACCAGCAGCACGCTCACTTTTGGAGAAATCTTGGGTTGAACAACTGCATTTTATGATGTGGCCTGCAAGGTAAAGCAGCCCCACTTTCTGGTTTCCTCACAAGAGCAAGGTGGAATGTGGTGAGTGAGGCTCTGAGAGGTCCCCTCAGTGGGGCAGAAGAGCAGGGCACAGCCCCACTCATGAACCACAGCTCCCACTTGAAAGACATTGATGCTCAAATCACTTGGAAGAGAGGATGAGGCTGAGACCTTGGTTAGACCAATAATTTAGGTCACAACAGTTCCCTGGAGAGCTGAGTAGTTTCCTGGAAAGCTACCTGGACATTAAAACACCTTGTTAGTGATTTCTTCATGACTGCAATAATGACCACTTGAAGTGAATGATTTTACATAAAATTGGACAGACTAGAACTAAGACTAAAGTACTTTTCAGTGCCTTAGTATTCATAGGGATAACTGGTTGCCACATAAAAACAGATTGGAGAAACAAGAGTATGTCTGAAATCCGTATGAAGAGAAGAAATGCCAATGAGTAGGGAACAAAATCTCAAGCTCTTCAGAGGTGATGGTATTCTTCCAGCCAAAACTGGGAGGTTGAAGCAAAATCATTGTATGTCTCTGTGAAAACAGTTAATAGCACCAAAAAGAAAGAGAAGGAGATGACAACATTCATTTTCATTGATTTCGCAGTGATAAAGACACTGCATTTGTTTGCTGCTATCAAGAAAAACTTGGCTGTACAATAGCACTCTAGAAACCTCAGTTACACAGAAATCCTTGAAAGAATGACACTTTGAGACCTATCAGTTTTCAGAATTCAAAAAGCCCTACAAATCTTTTAAAGCATTTATACTTGGTTTGAAGCTATTGAACAAAACACACAGTTTTAAATTGCTTGGAAAATTCCAGACTGTAAAAGCATTTACAAACCTAAAAATTTGCCAGGTATGGAAAAAGCTGCTCAGGAAGTAAATGGGAGAATTTGCTGCCCCTCACACTTCCTAAGTTAACTCCCAGGTGGCATCTTATAACAACTTAGAAGCCTCTTATTAATTTCTATTTTATTTCCATTATACTCTGTAATTTCTATTAGTAGCAGTTTTGAGAGTGTTGTTTTGTTTTCTTTTAATGACCTGTTGAAAAATGAAAAATATTTTAGTTTGTATTCTAGGATGACCTGAGCTTCCTGAGCATAAAGGCCTTTTAGGCATCTTTGGGAAGCTTGCAGTGGGAGACAAATCAGAGCCTTGGAGCTGTGGCCAGCACTGAACACTCTCACAAGCCTCAACACTGCAAGATGATAAAAGTTCTCATTTTCAGAGTGCTGGATCTTAATTCTGGGAACGACTTGTGTCACAGTATTACAAAATATCACTCAAATTCAGATAATGAAAACCATTTCTCACTTCTGAAAATTCTGTCAGTTCAGTAACTGCAGCGAAACCAAGAATCACTAAAAGCCCTGATGCAAGCAAATGTAAGGTTTTCCTTGATTATAACAAAATAATGCAAAAAGATAAAGTAATATATTTTTCCTAGCTGATCATTCATCTGCTGTGAGGTTTGTTGAAGATTTTTTATTTTAATTTTTTTAATTTATTGTTCAGTTGCAGACTTGTAGAAGCTAGATTAACTCTGAGATTACTTGGATTAAAATTTGGTGGCTTTTGGGGAGCCTTCACTTTATTTATGTTTCAGTTGAACTTGATTTTTGGCTCTATTGCTGAACCTGTTTTGCCAGCAGTGTTTGCCACAATATCCATTTTCCCATTCTGAGGTATGTGGTGAAATGGTAAAAAAATGAGAAATTTTAGCTGAAGAATAAAATTTGCTCTTGAACCAGAAGAAGAATCTGCCTCTTCCTGCCTCAACCTGGTCCCTGTGCCTCACCAGAGAGGTCTGCTAGAAAGGGATTTTCCCTTCACTAACTATGTCAGATACTAATTTGTGTCTTAATATGTGGGAACCAGATAAAAATAGAGCAATACATGGTTTTGGAGTAAATCAAAATATTTGAGCACAGGCTCCTGCTTCAGGATTCGCTTTATCCATGAAGCATAAATGACCATAAGGCTTTCAAGTACCTGAGCATTCACAAACTCAGGCCTGCTGATTAAAATGTAAATTTCATGTGAAAATAATTGGATGACAATTTGCAAATCTAAAAAATTAAAATCTATTCCCTTTCCTGGAATGAAGAATGCAGCATCAGGACAAGCTGCAACTGAAGGAATCATAGACTGAAAGATGTGCTGAAAAGTTAATAAATTTTTATGGAAAAAAAATCCTGGCAAAAAGGGGAATTTGTTTAGAGACACTTATAGATTAGGTTTGAATGTGATTTGAGGTCAGATGGAAATGCCATACTAAAGAGTGCAATTTACACTCTTCACGCCAAAAAAATCTTAGAGAATGAAAATGACCTGCTGTCTCTGACAAATAACTTTCTGATGAATTACACTATAGGGAAAGGTACACTTTTATTTAATTAGCAACTTTTTCTTAACTTTTAAACATATAACTGGCCCCTCATTTTAAGTCCAAATCAGTATAATTTCCCAAATGGTTATTTTCTGGTGGGGGTTTTTTAAAAAATATTATTTCATAATCTTCACAAAGTCTACCAGGTGTTAAAAATATGACCTCCTTTCCCAAAACACACAATCCAAGACAGGTACTCCTAGCATCTTACACTGAGATTGTTGAAGCTCAACAGGACTGTCAGGCTGTCACTCACTTGAAGCCCAGCTCAATAACCAGCTGAGTGAAAAGTTGCTTGACTTAGAAGTATAAATAAAAAACAGCCAGCATATGTCTAGTGCAGAAATATTATCAAGTGTCCCTCTTTAAGCTCTGAAAACCACAAACACACACACATTTTACAGGCAAGAAGTGCTATAAATGCAAAGAGCATAAAAGCACCACAGATTAAATACTGCCACGGTCTCCCGTGTGAAGCACTGCAACATCCTTCAGAAAGGGTCCAGGCGAGCACATCCTTTCTCTTTACTCCTCACATTCCCCAAACCCCCCAAATCCTATGTCTCCTTCTGCTGGAGAGAGGCTAACACGTGGAACCCGGTGTTTCCATGGATCATCTGTGGCTTGTAATTTCACAGTTAGGTTCTGCACTGACTTGTGCTTCACCACGCTTGTTTCTCCCCCGCCTCCGGGAATCCCCATCGCTCCCTGTGGCTTCTCTCACCGTTTCTAATCCCACTGGTCTGACCCTGCGGTGTCTCCTTAGTCTCGGCCCAGCTTCGTGCCCCGAGGTCATGAGTCATTCTGGAGATGGCGGTTTGCATGTGAAAGCAGCTGTGTGTAATTTCGGATTTCGTAGAAGAGAGTCATCTCCCTTTTACCTCCTCACTAATTTCCTGCATCGTGCCTCGGCGTGCAGCCTTCAGTTTTCCTCTCCCCATCCCGCACTGGAGTCACACAGGTAAGAGTGTCATCCCTTGCAAATGGATCATTCACGGTTTAATCACTCCTCTCCTCTGCACCCCTCCCTCCTCTTGGCTCCTAGTTTGTGGAAAACGGGAAAATTCCTTCTATTCTCGATATTTCAGAGGAGAGGAGTGAAACTGAGAGGGAAACCCAGAACAAGTTTCTGACAGGCTTGTTAACCACCGCTTCACTGCAGGCAAAGACAATCACCTTAGCAGGTGGCTTACGATTTTCTGTTTGCAATACCACACAAGTGTGGGTTTGAATCATCATAATTTTCCTCCTCCTCTCTTCCTATTCATCTGAAAGCCCTTCTGACACTTCCACAGGTCTTTGTGTCCCACACCTCTGCTCATTCCCAGTTAAATCAGAACTTCCAAATGCATCAAAAATGAGTGTTTTGGGGGTTACATAGTCCCAAGGATCTGTGTTATCCAAAAGGTACATCTGGCTACAGGGTTTCACACTTAGGATAATAATCAGTGGGTTTAGCTGACCTTTTAAAGCACTATAGAATGTACCTTCTCAGTCACTCTTCCTCATACCAGAAAGCAGCTGTATCAGGGAAAAAACTGTGTAGCAAGTTCATTGCATCATTTCAGAAATCCTAAAGTTTCATGTATAGTCAAGTCCCACAGAGAACATCCCCTGAATGTTCTTTCCTGGCAGATAAATATTGCAAAAGCATACTGCGATTACCTTAAGGGAAGACGAAGTTCTCCGAGGGCTCAGCCTCTCTTGGGCAAGAGGTTTGGGGTCTTCACAAGACTCCAAAGTGTTGCTCTTCCCTATCAGGTTCCTTATTTCAACGTCCAGCTCTTTACTTTCACACCTGCTTAGGAAGAAAAAGCAATATTAAACTTTAGACCAGAACTTGAGGCTTTCTTCTGAATGTGAGAACACAGAGCTGGTACTGCACCAGGCTCCAGCTCCCTTTCTTCCTGGTATCACAAGCAGAGAGCACCAGGGCAGTGACACACAATCTCCAAGTGCTTTGTGGCAGAAATTAATTTAAAATACTTACAGAAGAAGCCTTTATGAATTTTACCACTTTTCACCTACAAAATCCAAATTGATCCTTTTGGGGATTGTATGAAGACTGCCATATGCCCTCAACCTCACTCACTCACAGT